TTGCTATGGCGTGATTGATAATTATCAACAGCCAAAAATATCCTAAATAAAATCAACAAAATATTACTATTTTTAATGTGCTAAAACCGGAATGAAACTTATTTTTTCAATATTAGTTCAAGTTTTAGAGATACGGTAATTATATATGTTCCTGCTGTGTTAATATACTGTAATTCACAAGAATGCACGTGCTACATTTTTATATTCGGCAAGGATAGATGATGTAATCAGCATGATCGTGTTACGTTATACATACGTGTACAATATATTGTTTTATATTAGCCATTTTTTCCTCAGTTGGCTGACAGCGTTCATGCAAGATGTCTCGAAAGTGTGTAAACAATCCAGATCAATTTTGTTACGTGTGTGTTGATGTGACTTTTGCGTCTCAGAGACGGTCTATTACTCCACTAATAACAAAGGCATATCAGCTTTATTTCGGTTGTAAACTAGGTGATCAAGACAAACAGTAGGCACCCCACATCTGCTGTAATACATGTGCTTCAAGTCTGAGGAGCTGGTTAAATGGCAAAAAACGGTCTATGCGCTTTGCTGTCCCAATGGTTTGGAGAGAGCCTACTAATCATATTAATGATTGTTACTTTTGCATAGTACCTTGTGTTGGACAAGCCACAGGTATGTCCAAGAAAAAAAAATCGGTTATTAACTACCCAAACATACCATCTGCGATGAGACCTGTGCCTCACAGTGACGAAAATCCTATTCCAAAACCCCCAGAATCCTACACTTGCGAATCAGAAAACGAATCAGATCATGGCGATCGAGTGATCCGTCCGGAAGAAGATATGCCATCAACGTCAAGAGATCCTGATTTTATACCGAGCACGTCATGCCACCAACCGCACCAAATAACACAGTCAGAATTAAATGATCTTGTAAGAGATTTAGAACTTCCAAAATGTAAGGCAGAGTTACTTGGATCAAGACTGCAGCAGTGGAACTTGTTAGAAGACGATGTTTCGGTATGTGTTTTTCGTAAACGCCACAAAGACTTAGAACCATTTTTCAATATGGAGAATAACTTGGTTTTCTGCAGTAACATTAACGGCTTACTGGCGGCTTTAAATATAAACTATAACACAGAAGAATGGAGATTGTTTATAGACAGTTCAACATTGAGTTTAAAGGCAGTGTTATTGCATATTGGAAATATTTTACCATCTCTTCCTGTACGGTATGCAGTTCACATGAAAGAATCATATGACAATGTGAAGTACCTATTGACATGCATAAAATACGATGAGCACCAATGGCATATTTGTGGCGATTTGAAAGTTGTTGCACCTTTACTTGGGCTGCAGCTAGGCTACACAAAGTTTTGCTGTTTTTTGTGTGAATGAGACAGTCGGGCAAAGGCACTTCATTACACCAGACAAAACCGGCCTGTTCGTCAATTCCTAGAGCCAGGTCAAAAAAATGTACAGCATATGCCATTAGTAGATTCGAAAAAAATTTTATTACCACCACTGCATATCAAGTTGGGCCTAATGAAAAACTTTGTCAAGGCATTAGATAGAGATGGGTCAGCTTTTCAATACCTGCGTCAGAAATTTCCAAGACTAAGTGACGAACAGGTTAAAGAAGGTATTTTTGTTGGGTCACAGATTCGAAATATTTTGAAAGATACACAGTTTGAAAACACTTTAACAGGTATTGAAAAAACTGCTTGGAATGATTTCCGTCTGGTGGTCACTAATTTCTTGGGAAATAGAAAAGCTGACAACTATAAAACCCTTGTCAAAAATATGCTGTCATCGTATCAAGAGATGGGCTGTAATATGTCTCTTAAGATACATTTCCTACATTCACACCTGGACTTTTTTCCTGACAATTGCGGAGCCGTAAGTGATGAGCTTGGCGAACGTTTTCATCGGGATATTTCAACAATGAAAAAAAGGTACCAGGGAAAGTGGAATCCTTCCATGGTTGCAGACTACTGTTGGACTCTTGGTAGAGATGCTGCAGAAACGATCCATAAAAGAACAGCAAAAAGACAGCGCATATAGTGATTCTTATAAGTATATAAATCTTGTTACTTTTTTTAATATATCCTTAAAAATAAAAAGTTTTTTTCTAAACCGCAACTAATTTTTTTATTTCATTGTCATTTTTGGATTCAGCGTCCCAAAATTAACAAAGAAGTGCACTTTTCCCACAAGATACAATTAAAAAACTAAAATTTGTTGTCCAGTGTAATATACAGGGTGGCGCATCGAAGACGAAACAGGCGCATTCACTGGCAGCTCAGTTTTTTTTTGAAAAACTTTAGACCCGTCTATTTTGTTTTCGAGGGGGACACAAGTTTGGCAAACAATCACGTTAGCACGTGCAACCCTCTAAGCGGGGGTGACACCACCCCAAAATCTTAAATGGAAAGGGGGGTCGGGTGATACCTTATTTTAAAGGTCTTTCAATTCCCTTTATAATGATGTAAAATACATGAGCTTCAGTTCAGTAGTTTAGAAGATTTATTGTTTTAAAGCTTAAAGTAGAATTTAATAGGTACTGCAGATTAGTTTGACTAAAAGAATTTACTTAATAAGTAAATGCTTTTCTTTACTACGCCCATGGTTTGTTTATCATTTTGTTGTTGAAAATAGCTGGAGCGTTTTTTTGTGGCAAAAAAGTTATTTCTTGAAGAAAGGTGAGGAAATATCTCGTGCTTAGTTTAAATAGGAATTTAGTACATGGTTTGCGATTGATTTGACCAGGTGTCACTCGACCCCCCTTTCCATTTAAGATTTTAGGGTTGGTGTCACCCCCAACCAAGGGGCTGCACGTGTTAACGTGATTTTTTGCCAAACTTGTGTCGCCTCGAAAACAAAATCGACGGGTCTGAGCGTTTTTACAAAAAAAAAACTGAGCTGTCAGTAAATGCGTCTGTTTCGTTTTCGATGCGCCACCCTGTATGTAATGTGGTCTAAAAGCAATTTGAAAATGTATTTTACTATAATCAGTGAAATTCCATCAGCCCCAACAGCATTAGTTTTAATGGATCAGAAACTCCTCGCAACAAATTCTTTAGCAACCTTTTGAAATCAGAATGACTTGCGAAACCGATTATTTTGATATTTGTTTAGAAGCTCTAATTGCTTTTGTGCTTTGTCATTTTAAGACATTGGTGTGTATGTATTACTAGGAAAACGCTCAGTAAAGGAAAGATCCAGCGTGTTACCAACTTCAGGTCGTTCCTTCTTACCCCGAGTAGAAATTCGACAATATTCGGTACAAAGCTACCGAAAATATACCTAGTCCGAAGCGATAAATTCATTCTTCCTGGTTTAACGGTCGTCCTGGAAAAAGATGATCCCAACGTTCAGAGGGATTGTAATCCGCCAACAGAATATATGTCATTAGGGGTGCGATTATCGTCGGAATATGCGGATCACGCCCGCTGCAAGGGTGTGTCGGGAATACGTGGAAAAGGGAATAATGTGGATGTCTCAATAACGCTGACGACCTTTTTTTTCAGAACAATAGAGTTTTCCCAATATGAGGAACGTTAGGTGATGACTTCATGAATTCAGGGGTAAGACAGTAAAATATTCACAACCGGAAAAGGAGTTTCTAGGCTGGTTGCAAACGAAAGTGGAGGAGCGACCAGTATGCTCATTGTACCGGTTCCAATATATACGTAGAGCTTAGTATTTTTTAAGGAAAATATACCCTCAAAGAGTATATAATGTTGCGTGTGCGTTCAATACAAGAATATACTTTTTTTACCGATTTCATGCTTGTCCTTCCAAACTGAACGACACCATCTACCGATTCCGTTTTTTCTCTTCGGCAACACTTCAAAAGCAGTTAGGATTTTAAACGTTCCAGATCAAATAAATGATAAATAACAATTTTCGCAAATATTCTCCTTATTAGGTATTTTTAACTATGAACTAACCCTGTATATTGCTCAACAAACTAGTAGTGGTGGCTGGAAAACTGGTGTTTTGGGAAAAACAATTAGAAATTCTCAAAAACTACTTGACCAATTTTGTTGTGGTTATTAAAAAGTCCGATTCCTACGATTTTGAAGAATTTCGAGTATATGCGAGAAACCATCGTTGCATTAGCATCAAGTGTCAGAACCTGCAGTTTACCTCGGTTTTCGGCTATAACTTTTTTGCTATCAGGGTGATTCTCAAAATTTGGGACAATTTGATGTAACCATCCAAAATTACTAAAACAAGAGTTATCTAACATGCTTAGGCAATAAAATGAAATACCTTTAGTTAGGACCACTTATTAAACTTTTAAATTTGACTTTAAAAATATTTTTAAAAACTGTCAAAGAGTACCAAAATTCCACTCCATGGACTATAACCAACACGTTTTGCCTAAGATATTGCTTTATTTCAGAAACTCTACATAGTTTCGGGTCACAACAATCGTTTTTATCAAAAGATTAAATGTCAATAATAATAATGATATAGCCAAAATAAAATAATTACTAAAAATAATCATTAAAAATTATGTAAAAAGATGTGACCTAGGGGAATTTTGCTCCTTATGGTTGGTATTGCATCTTTAAGCGCGTCGGGTCGGTACTCGTGCTTCAGTCTAGTTTTGTCGCTCGACATGCACGCATCGCCCAATTTTGTGCGGATTAGTGGTAGTGACAGTCGAAGTGAGCGCTGGCAGGTGCGTATTTTTATTGTTTTCCACTCCATGGGGGCTTTTAAAATGATATGAACAAGTAAAATTTGAATAAAAATATTGCGGTTAGGTGACCATTTATTGGCATTTTAATTTTATGTACAAATTAGTTTGTGTTTTTTGTTTTGCGAGTGTAAAGCTATTTTTTTCCAAAAAAAAAAATCGACTCCCTGGACTTCCGCTCCATGGACTTTTGTATGTCCATGGAGCAGATTGGTGTCCATGGAGTAGAAAAAGTAATTGTTTTTCAACCTTAGAAGGATACGCTTTAATTTAAATTAATTATAAGACTATGCTAATCATGTGGTTTAATAGGTTTTTTGTTTTAGCAAAAATATGGCGAAGCCAAAGGTAGACTTAGAGAAGCGAAGGCAGCAAAAAAGAGATTGTGAACGCAGACGTAGAGAGAAAGTAAGAAGCAATCCAGAGCAATATGAAAAAGCAAAGCAACAGGAAAGAGAAAGATATTATGAGCGAAAAAAACAAGGCAAAATTAAGCTTATTGGGGAAGTATCCAGAAGGGAGAAAAAAAGATTAAGAAAAAAGTGGAAAGAATACAAACGGAGTTATAATACAAACAAAAAACATGTAACCAGAGCTACGCAGATGCTAAAAGAAAACACTCCTCCGGCAGCACCTACCAGAGATCTAAACGAAATTGAAAACAATCAGGATGTAGCAAATGTTTCAGGGAGATCAAGCGCTGGAAGAAAAAGGGTTTTAAGGAAGCGCTCAGCAACTGTGAGAAAATTAAAGGAATTGGAGAGAAAAGTAGAGAAGTACAAAAAATTAACGCAGCGGTATAAAACAAGACTACAGAGATGTAAAAATAAAAAAATCAAGAAAAATTCACCTTTAACAAACACCGAAAAATTGTTAAAAGGTCAAAGCCTTTCTTCAGAAGTCAGAAAAAAATCTTTGTTGGAGAAGTTTTAAGAAAACAACTATCTGCCAATTTTATTTCTATAAACACAAGCTACAAGGCTAAAAGGCAGTTTATAAAATGCACGTCTGGAAAGATTCTCAAACAGTATCGTTTGACAAGTGAAGTGAATAAGATTTGTGGCAAATAAAAAGCCGCTTAACAACTAGAGTTACCAAAAGTGATTTACGTAAGAGAATGCAGGCGTGTATTCGTAACAGGGGATTACAATTTGAGCAGAATCTGTAAAATACTAAAGGAAATGTAATCAAATGAAACTGTAATGAAAATAAAAGTCTTTTATTTATTCTACGTATTTATCGTTCGTACAGCTTTACTCATCTTTTTTAATTTTATGTCTTTGTACTTGGGTTAGTTGTAACTTTTATACCTCAAATGAAAGCTTGTTAGATAGAGATATTATTTAAATAATTTGCACATTTCATTACTAGGAGATTTTTTACAGAAAATTGCATTTTTTATCGAATAAGTTAGTAAGAAAAAAGAAAATGATACTTAAAAAGCGTAATTTTAAAGCATTTGTAGCTATTCAACATTTTATTACTTATTATGAACTATTGGAATGTCTGCTATGCGACGATAACAAAAAACTCAAAATCAATAAAAATAAAAAACTTAAAGGTATCGACAAACGAAGCTTATGCATATCAGTGTTGGAATTTGACAAAACTTTTTTGCCCTCCGTATACAAGTAAGCCTGTGTCAAAATTTTGTCAAAGTAGGTTATAGAAGACTGAACGATCAAGGGACAGACATACCGACAAACAATTCTTAATGTCTGTTATCTCCTTCTAATTTTACGTTTCCCATCTAGCGTTGCATTCCCGTTTTAAAAAGAGTCACATCACAAAGTGTAGGGTTCACGGCTCTACAGCCTTGGCGTGCGCCTATCTAATGTATTCGTATCGCGAGGAAAACAGACGACGTTTGATTTATGGCAGAACATCGATATATTTCGTCGGGAGGTTTGACAATATCGGATTTAATTGGAAAAAGCGAATGATAAATATGCGGCCACAATTGGAATTTTCTCGTCATATATCCATGGATTCCGCAGAGTTATGCCATCTGGGTATCTGAGCCGGATATGCTTCGTCATTGGCTCGCATTGCCTAAACACAATGGAATGCAAAAATCGGCGCGGTTGTAATCCCAGAAGCTCATTCTTCCTGAAACGGATACATACCCATCACAGAAGTTGAACAAATTCATCGAGTCGCCAGCACATTGGAGTAGCATTTATTTAAATCATCTGTACTTTATGCCTATCCATAGGATTTGATTTTTACAGCAGGTGTCAGAACAGTTCATGTCATACCGTCAAAGTCTCGTAACAACGGTTATTTATACATTTACAACCGTAGAAGCAGAGCCAAATTTTGGAGACCGTGCATTGCAAAATGTAATTCCTCCTGTAAGAAGTTATTGCTTCACATGTACACGTTTGGCGGGGAGGGCAAGTTTTGGAGACAAAATATCCATATTTCCTCAAATTTGAAGTGCTCTAGGACCATTCATTAGATGTTTAAAGAATACTTGCCAGTATTGTTTTCCGGGATCGAAAGTTTTATATTTTGCACTTTATCAAATATTAAATCGTTTATTTCTCGAAAACTATCTACTTTAAACAAAAGTTATTCAAATGTTCTACGCTCAGAGTGACCAAAAGGCATAAAAAAGTTACCAGAACAAATTTTTGGGTTTGGCAACAAGCATACTCGTTAAATTCGGTCTTTTATCATACTTTTTTCTGAACGGACGTGAAAATACTTCCTGGACTTATCTTGGCATTAGATCCAATACGCAGGTCAACATTTGAGCCATTGAAAGCCAGGATGGTCCAAGTCACAAAAAGACGTTTCCGAGATTTAAGGCTTTAAAGTTTAGATGCGGCTGATAAATGAAGAATAATAAAACTGCAGTAAGAAATCAAAATACCCTTAAAGGTAGAATCAATTTAAGTATCTTATCATAAAAAACATAAACATGATGTGTTCATGTGTTTTTTTTTCATATGTTTAAGGTTTAGCCCACTCTGCCTTAAAACGGTTCTTACCTTTGGTTTCATACTTGTATAACGATTATAGTAAAGTAGAGTATTAAAGTAGAGTTACACAACATTATGTGAATTGATAATTTTATTACAAAACCACAGACATCAATCTCCATACAGTAAAAAAATAATGTATATTTTCTACACAAAAACTGTACTGTACTGACGCGACCTTATGGAATTTCTGGAAATTCTCGAGTCTGTTCTCCTTCTTCTTCTTCAGTAACAAGCAGTATTTGGCAAAGTTGCATCTGTCTTCAGATTCTTAAAAAAACTATGATGAACTGGTGGTATGAATTGGAGAATCTCTTCCATGTTTTTCTTCTTTTTGTCGTTGACAGGAAGAGGGGATTCACTCAAAGGAGGTAGGTTTATATTTTTGAAGTTTTGGGTGCACCTTTTCGAATTGGTAGTAAATTTATAAAGTCATATGGAAATTCTTCATTCAAAGTATCTTTATAAAAAATTTTGTAAGGTTCTTTTTTCTCAAAGTGTAGCCACTGGATCTGGAGCCATGATACAGTGGCATTAGTATCATTTTTCTTTCGTCTTGTTACAGCTTTTTCTGATGTTGTTGATGAGAAAAAATCAGACCGCTCCATTTCACAGACGTAAAAGGGTTTCCTGGGCCTGCAGGTTCTTATTGTTGTATACTAGTCTTCTGGCACGTACTTGATGCTATTTCTGTCCGCTTGGCACTACTATTGAAAACCAGAGTGGGTTAAGTCACACTTGTCCCATTCTGCCTCATAACGGTTACAGCTTTCCATTGACATATAAAAACAGAATGGTGCCATCTGTGTGCAAAACGAAAAGATATATTTTTCAAAACTCTCCCAGACAAAGATTCATCCATCCAGAACAGTACCAGAACTTCGATATCTGAAAATTTGGACTTGGACCATCCTGTCTTTCAACGGCTCATTTGATCTTGAACTCAACTCCAGACAAATAGTAGTGGATCTCGATGTTTGGGATGGTTTATATTTATCACGCTCAGTTCAAGGTCACACAGAATAAATCCCAAAAAAATGTATATTGTATTGTATTGAATGTAGATCTAGCGTTTGTTTTGTCCGACAAGCTCATCCACTTTAACCTTCGAAGAACCTTTATTTGACCTTGGAGTAACCTCCGAATTAAGTAGCCTGTTAAAACGAATGCGAGATTTGTGTTCAAAAGCCAAAAGAAAATTGTAGCTGAAGGTTTTTAAATAGATTCAAATACTTTTACAAACCTTGATCTTGAAATAACCTTGACATAACCTCTGAATGACCCCGCTAGTCAAAACAAACGTCGTCAAATTTTGATTCAGTGAGACAAAAAAGCACATTACAATTTTCTTGAGTAATTTCTCTGGATTTGATCCTGAAATGACTTTGAACTTGAAGGATCAACCGACCTAGGCATTGTGATCAGCGGTCAGAATGACCATAATATACTTCCATGACAGTGATAATTGTTAGATCAAACTGCGACATGTGTTATAAGAGCATTAGATCTTTTGTTATCGGACTTGGCGCCTTTTGGGACGCCTCTGTTTGTGAGCTTTCCAGTGTCCGCCAGATGATGTACGACTTGACATAATTAAATCCTGTATTTCTTTCTGTTTCTGCGGGTATCCGTAAACACTGGACAGGCTGATGGTGGAAACGTTCATCCCGAACGGTGACAGCAATGCAGGGCAGAATATCCGCAGAGCAGAAAAAATATTTTTACTGCATCTGATGACGACTCTACCTTCTGTTTGAAGATCGTTTTATCATCATCTAGCTATCAAATCACAACAAACGTAATTCGAGACAAATCAATGGGTAGGTTGTTTTAAGAAATTCAAATTTAGTGGATAGGATTTTTTATTCCAGGTGCTTGAAAGATGCTATCAAGTTGGTGAGCCGTTGAATTATTTTCGGCACAAGCAGCATTTTCACTATAAATTTAGTCTAGCTACCATTATGCAAGTCAAAAGGTATCGCTGATAACTTGATAACAAAAAAATCTCATGAAAAGAGAAATCAAAAGGTGTTCCAATTGAAAATTTTGAGAGTTAGTTGATTTTGGCTTCTCAACTACCCTGTATAGACTATTCAAAGAACTAAGAAGGTAGGTAGATAAGGACGAACTATAGGATCATAATTTTTCAACGAAAAATTTTGTACCCTAGCTATACAAATTGCGGATGTGCGGGTTTTCAAAGTTTAGTGTTTTATTCGATATATTGTCAAGTATCTGTATCTCTGACTCGGAGAATGGAACGCTATGGTATGTTACATCAAACGGCTTTGTATAAAAGGGTGTACACATATATTCAATAAAACGTAGTGCTTTCCATTTGCATGTTTGTGTCACTGCATAGTTATACATCACCCTGTAGGGGTAAACATATTTTCCAAGTAAGAAGCATACTGCTGACTACAATCTTTTTCGGTACTGTCCGCAATGACAGAGTTATCGAGCAATGCCACACGAAAAGCTCACACTGTAACGTATGTCCTAAAAGTTTTCGCACAAAATTCACACAAGTTGCCTTTTAAACAATAGTTTGTTTACTTACTTTACTGTCAGTTGACATTTAGTTATGTTGAAGTTTTCGCTTCAAGATGTCATGTAAATTACAAATAAGAAAAAGTATCTACAAGTTGTTTGGGCGAGTACCCAAAGCTAAATCAAATCAAAAATATTCAATATAGTGTCTGTTAAAAATGATACCTTATGATCGATGTCATCTATTTGATATATGTTGACCCCAAGGCGCCGACTCAATGTCAGTCTGAAACAGGGCTACATTTATTCGATGTAAAGCGGCTCGATAGCTGTTCTACGCAAA